GGCCATTTCTCTCATGCCGTCCGGTCACAACTGCACGGCTATTCGACCCGATGGACTGGGACGCTCCACTGTCAAGGATGTTCAACGTTGGCAACAGCTGCTGAACCAGCTACCTCTGCTCAGCAACATACGAGTTAATCGCTGGCTCAGCACCGACGACGATCACTCAAGGCTTCAGCTCCACGGCTTTGCTGACGCTTCCGAACGAGGATACGCCGCAGCGGTTTACCTCCGCAACTCTGAAAAGAGGAAAGCATCAACCATTTGCTCATGGCGAAATCCAAGGTCGCACCCGTCAAGCAAGTTTCACTGCCTCGCCTGGAGTTGTGCGCTGCTGATCTACTCACCACGCTCACGCTGCATGTCCGCAACACGCTCGACTTGGCGTCTACTCCGGTGTACCTGTGGTCCAATTCCAAGGTCACGCTCCATTGGATCCAGGGACACACCACCCGCTGGAAAACTTTCGTCGCCAACCGGGTAATTCATATCCAAACACAGCTCCCGGACGCTCAGTGGAAGCACGTAGCCGGGAAAGACAATCCTGCAGATTGCGCATCAAAAGGAATTACTCCTGGGGAATTAATCAACCACGCATTATGGTGGACTGGACCTACCTGGTTGGCACTGGACGAAACGGCGTGGCCCAACTCAGAGGTCGACATCTCAGAGGACGACCTTCCGGAACAACGCACCACCAGCCTGCTAACCAGGAGTTCCGTCATCATTGAACCGGACCTCCTTCTTCGGTTCTCCGCTCTTCATCGGCTACTGCGCGTTACAGCTTGGTGCCGTCGATGGCTCAACCTGGCAAGCCGGGAGGTCACATCTGGTCGCTCGCTGCATCCTGACGAGCTAGACGCCGCTCTACTCCAGTGGCTTTGAGTGGTGCAGGCGCTCCACTTCCCTGACGAGGTAACTGCTGCCACCGCAGGCCGGCCCGGTCCACCACGCAGTTCACTGGTCAAGCTGAACCCTTTCCTCGACGACCAAGGTGTGCTTCGCGTCGGAGGACGCCTCAAGCACGCTCTGCTGCCCTACGACAAAAAGCACCCGGTGATCGTCCCGCCGGCCTCCTGGATGACGCGACTGCTAATCGAGTCCTGCCATCGTTGGTCTCTGCATGGCGGCGTCCAGATGACTCTCAGCTTACTTTGCCTTCGATTCTGGGTGCCACGTGGAAGAACCGTCGTCAAGCAGCAATTGCATCGGTGCGTCACTTGCACGCGCTGGCGAGCTGCCACTCCACAACCTCCTATGGGCAACCTTCCTCGTGACCGAGTGACGCCGACTCGGCCATTCCTGAGTACTGGCCTGGACTACGCGGGACCCATTTCTATCCGGACCAGCAAGGGGCGCGGACACCGCTCACAGAAGGGATACATCGCAGTCTTCATATGTTTCTGATCAAAGGCTATCCACCTCGAGGTCGTCTCGGATTACAGCTCCGAGGCCTTCATCGCCGCCTTACGCCGCTTCGTCTCTCGCAGAGGTCTGTGCAAGGACATCTACAGCGACTGCGGCACAACATTCATTGGCGCCGATTGCACATTGCGTGAGCTCTTCAAGGCGTCGACCTCCGAGAGCCATCATGTCGCCCGCGCCGCCAACACTCAAGGGATCCGCTGGCACTTTAATCCGCCAGCGGCCCCTCACTTTGGTGGTCTTTGGGAGGCTGCCGTAAAATCCACAAAATTTCACCTCCGTCGAGTAATCGGCGAAACTACACTTACGTTTGAGGAACTTAGTACACTCCTCACACAAATAGAGGCGTGTTTTAATTCTCGTCCGTTACAGGCTCTGTCAGACGATCCAGATGATACTTCGGCGCTTACACCAGGCCACTTCATCATCGGAGCACCGCTACTCGCGGTACCTGAGCCATCGCTGACGGGTCAATCAACCTCCACGCTGTCACGCTGGCGTCACCTGCAGCTGATACGAGACCATTTTTGGCAGCGGTGGTCGGCTGAGTATGTGCACGGTCTCAACCCCCGCACCAAATGGTTCAAGGCCGAGTTCGTACCTCACGTCGGGGACCTCTGCATCATCCGCTCGGAGCTCACCCCTCCGACCCGATGGCCTCTTGCGCGGATCACGAAACTGCATCCTGGGGACGACGGTATCGTCCGCGTGGTCTCAGTCCGCACCGCCACGTCCGAACTTGTACGCCCGCTCGTCAAATTGGTCATGCTTCCGGGCGCGGATCGTATTCCGGGCAGGAATAACGCGGACACGCCGTCCGCCGGCACGTAACTCATCTCTCATCTCGCGACACTCATTCACCACATAATCATCACATGCACTGTAACATTTGTCGCACCTCAGTTTTCTCATAATCACCGCATTGCACTACACACTATTCATTGCACATCAAACACGCGTTTTCACTCTCGCAGCTGATCGCTCCGCACCACGCTATCACCACGTGTTTATCGGCTTGTCAGCTGATCGCGTCACATTCCACGCGATCATCAAGTATTTCACCGCGCCGGCGCGCGCCCGCCCCACCATCGATCGCTATCGACTTGAGATTCCGCGGCCAAAATTCGACAGCATGTTGTCACTGCGCGACAAGGCGGTCGGGAATGTTCAAAATGCATAAGAAAACATTCTCCGCATAATAAAATATTATACTCGAATAGAATACTTTAGAATATTCTAGACCAATCGATATTTTCAGCAAATCGTTTTTATATGTTTTTCGAGGAGAAAACGCCGCGACATAAATAAATCTGTTTCGGAAAAAACCTCTCAAAACATCAACAATTAACGGTATTACAACTGTTCCGCCGAATAATTATTTTTCAATGAGCATGCGCGGCTTATCACGGGCGCCTCGCTTCACCAATAATTATCGCGATCGCCCGCTCGCGCATGCTTTCTTCCAGTCGTCGTTCCGTTATTTTGACAGCGGCCAATTACGCGTAATGCACTCAGGTCACCTCGCGCAATGTTTTCGCGTTTGGCGACGCGAAGGTGAGCTCCACCCTAAACATTATAAAAGAGGAGCTCACACCCGCCAGCCTTATCGCTTTTACGCCGTGTATTAACGCAAACCATTACTGTTCCGCTACACCCGCCGCCGCCTTTATTTTGTTACGCCTTTAACTTTTAAATTGTTCATGCTGTCAAACCGTTAGTGTTTCTTTTGATACCCGCTTATTCCGCGTTTGATTTTGATTACGATTTTCACTGTAAAATAATTAACAATTTGTAAACAATATGTTAAGTTTAGAGGTTAATTTTAAATTCTTTTTAGGACATTGTTATGTTACATTACTGCATTTTTGTTTAAAAAATATTTAATAAATTTATTATTTAAACTTTATGCAACTGTTACATTTTGTTTATAACTGAGTATTATAATAAATTATATTATTTATAGGCTTTTGTTTATAAAAATTTTATATATACCATATTTCATATAACTTTACGCATATTTACGCTATTATGCTAAAAACATTTTGTATATTTGTTTATTTTTTATATAAACAAATATTGTTACTTTGAATACATAAATGTATATTATATTTCTATATTTATATTTATATGATGAAAAGGCAAGTGTCAATTTCTTTTAGACAAAAAAACATGATATAAAATGTACTTCTAACATTTTTTGTTGCTCTCTTATTTACACCTTTTAGTATTAAGCTTTCTCACCATGACAAGGTAGGTGTAAATCGATTAAGAAAATTTGTTTCATTTTACAGGGAGAAAAGACAACTGATATTTATAGCAATATTGACATTTATGTATTATTTTTGCAAAATCGATATAATTTCGATTTATACGAAAACATGCCCTATTTATGTATATATCGTTAGATATAAATACATAAAATTTGTGTTATATTTATTTGAGGCATCTTTTCCAAAGATTCGAAAATTTTACATACATTTTCTTCGATAATGTAAAGAAAATGTTGCCTCATATTATCAATATCGAATATGATAAAAGGAGGTATTACTATAGTTGTAGCAAAGCTGCAGCATAAATTCCTTGATGTGTCGGTTGTTTTTGCCTTTTCAAATATAATATCATTTGCACATTTGTGGACTACGAAATTTTACTTTAGGCACCAATTTATTGTATGAAAGGGTATACCATAGCCAGCTGGTCATACTTTCGCCAAGCTTGTCCGCCATAATTTGAACATACGAATACAATTAAATGGACGATTAAATAACGACTGTGTTTAAAAGTATTCTAAAATACGACAATGATTTTGACCAATGATCGTCGCTTTTGCGATATTCACAGGTAGACAACTCTATTTCTCTATCGATATAACATTATCGAGTAAATTGTTTTTGTCGTGCCATATCGTTTTCAGTTAGTTCTTCTTTATTGTGAGTATCCTATTTACAATACGCAATCGTCATCTTGTTCCGCACTTATAACAGTAACAGGAGTGACAGTTGCTACAAAGACATTATATTCGTATACTTGCTCTACATCGTGATTTTTTTTGTGTAGGTGAACAACGAAAATATAGTGCACTGCCAAGACCTTCATAAATTCTATTGAAATAGGAAACTATTGTTTATTACCCGTGATGCCACCTTATAATTATAAAGGGGTTTGTGCTGAGAAAGGGTAGCGGCAATCGTCCAGCGCCTACATTATCCTATAATAAAACCGCACCTGGATCCAGATCGTTGGATAACATTTCTAATGCCTTATATTCCATTGAGATCTCTCTAATATGCATGAAAGGCCCGCCGAATAACCGCACACCGTAGTGAGCATATCAAGCAGCCCAAATACGTCTTGCCGACGGGCGTCCCCATTACAAAGACCATCGACTCAAAGTTTGTTACGAGAATAGACCGATATTGAAAATAGACTTGAATAGTTAATATTCTTTTATAAAGTTTTTAAAATATAAGCCGGTGGTGAATCTATAATATTCTTTGACTTGTTGTTTTAAAATACTCTAGTTTAAGAAATATATTAGCGTTGAATATCTCTTGATACTAGTTAAATAATACTAACCTTATATACGTTCGATTTAGACGAATTATATAGTGCTGTGCTAAATCCCGTCCAAGAACAGTGTTAAGCAATGCACATGTGCTGTAACCGCGTCTTGGCATTTTACATCTTCCCTATAATCTAAAACATAATAGATAGTTAACACTTGACTAATTAACTTAAGTTAGATGTATGCAACTATTAAATTTTAAGTGTTAAATTAGGATACTAAAGTGTAGTAGTATATTGGTACTACACCTATAATTATAATTACCTGTGAAGCATCTATAATAACTAATGGATGCATAAATGGAAGTTCAAAATAGCTGAGTGATCTTCCTTTGAGTTAAACATGACAGTCATCTGAAATTATACAGACTCTTTAGTTATTTCTAATAATAAGTTCACTAAGCTGAAAATAAATCAACAAAACAGAATTGAACGGATTAATATATACTTTAGAATGTCTTATGATCATTCTTTAAACTCTAAGTTGGTGATGAAACATGCGCAGTTTTGTTTCACTACCTATTGAGCGTTTCGCTGGGAATTATTACAAGTGCTGTGATGAAATGTCAAATTCCTGAATTGATGCTCTTATACATCCTAATTTGGGACGGAGTGGGTCTTCGTTGAGATTCTGAAGCTGCCTTCTTGGTTATCTTGGAATTGTTGATGCGCTGGAATCCCTGAGACCCCTCAGATGCTTCTGGTGATCCTACGGAGTCTTTCATCATCTTGGAGTTCTGTCCGCTGCGTAAAGATAAGTGAAATTAATATACATGTATGTTTTATGTGATAAATAGAGTGACGTTAAATGACAATTGGTCCAATTTGCATATGACTGTGTGATTTCTTAATGAATATAAACTAAGTAGTCAATGAATCTTACATATCGGGACTGTAATCAATAATTAGTAGAAATGGATTTAAGAATATTACATTAGAACATAACTTTTGATACATATATACATATATATAAATAAGACAATTTTATAATTATTCAATAATTAATATTTAATATTTGAACTGTAACGGCGTGTCCGTTACTAACGCCTCGCGGGCCGATCACCCGCCCGCCACTTGAGGCTATGGCGCCTAAGGCGCCCCTAAGCACAAAAACATAACTGATACACGGGTCACCCTACCCCAGGGGCGCCCCACTACAACCCCCAGAGGCGCCCCACTACGACGCCGGCGTTACCCCCACCACAGCCTCGATATAGAGTGGGGGAACCGCCGGCAGGGTATATAAGCCGGCTCGACGGATGAGCCGGCACCAGTCCTGTTCCGGACCTCCTAGCCAGGCAACGGGCTTCTCGTTGTTACGCCGGGTTTCCCGGTTTCTGGCCTCCTACCTTTAGTATCGGGCAACGGGTTTCTCGTTGTTACGCCGGGTTTCCCGGTTTCCGGTCTCTTCCTGCTACACGCCGGGCAACGGGTTTCTCGTTGTTACGCCGGGTTTCCCGGTTTCCGGTCTCTTCCTACTACACGCCGGGCAACGGGTTTCTCGTTGTTACGCCGGGTTTCCCGGTTTCCGGTCTCTTCCTGCTACACGCCGGGCAACGGGTTTCTCGTTGTTACGCCGGGTTTCCCGGTTTCCGGTCTCTTCCTGCTACACGCCGGGCAACGGGTTTCTCGTTGTTACGCCGGGTTTCCCGGTTTCCGGTCTCTTCCTGCTATACACCGGGTGACGGGTTCCTCGTCATTACGCCGGGTTTCCCGATTTCCGGTTTCTTCCTGCTATAAGCTATACGCCTCCGTACACCATATCTCTAAGTTATACCGGGTAATTTGTAAATCTTTTCCGGACACCGCTACAGGCTACACGCCTCCGCATTTTGTTTATACCGGGTAGTCAATAAGTTTCTCTATTTAAGGCTTTATGCCAACAAACATTTTGTTTATACCGAGTAGTCAATAAGTTTCTCTATTTAGGCTTTATGCCAACAAACATTTTGTTTATTTGTTTCTTTTTGAATAAACCAAAGCATTGTTAATAAGGAATAAGCGAGTCTGAATCTCCCCCTTCCTCCCGAATCCTGGAACCGGCGAGCCGATCCGCGGCGTCGGGAAAGGTGAACCGTTACAGAACTTACGTCATCTCTAATAGTGTAAAATATGTGACTTTCTCTGCGAGGCTGCATTTGTGTTAATATACTTGAAGTTGCGGTAAACCTAAATACTATTCAGATGACCTGTTGACACCTGCGTCATTGTAGTGCAGGATGTCTTCTTGTAGGTTATATCTTGTACTCTTGTTTCCGGGTGGTGTGCTATTCACTGTTAAATATAATGAATACCATGTATTACTGACATCTGATTAATGCACGGGGAATAACACACATAAGTACTTATATGATTCTTTAATATCATTTTCTAGTTTATACAATAATATTGATAGACGTGAATATATATACTTAATAATCAATTAATCATAAATAACTTTATAGAATTTAATAATGATAATATAGAACTGTTTTAATTTACCTCCATATACATACTGTTAAATATTTTGGATTTCTCTACTATTGCTATTCAACAATATATAAAGTCTATGTTACCTTTTACACTTGCACAATTATTACAGTCTGTTCATATAAATTAATTATTTACTATCCAAACGAGTACATTTGTGAGACCGCTGCACTGTTAAAGTGACACTTTGCAAGGATTAGGTTATGAACTCTCTCTCCCGGGTATGTTTTCTCCTCTCGGGACTAATAAGTGGCAAACGGACATCGACGCGCCATCTGTTGGTATATGAGTGAACTCCGTAGCCAAGATTGTCGAACAATCACGAACTGTAACATAAATGCGAAACTCGATGTGTCTTTCACATTTTGACCCAAGTTACTAGATCTAGGGGAAACTTGGTGAATTGGACAATTTTCGGTTTTCCTTATTTCTAAAGTGATTTTACATATAAAAACACTGTTTTCGTGCATAATTTGGACTAATTCTATCAAAATAATTATATATTATGTATATTTTTTGCAAATGTGATAAGTGATTGCTAAATAGGAATTAGCACTATAAATTATTGCTGATACTAACATATGTGAACATAACAAAGATGTTTGACTTAATATATGCTGTCTGAAACCTCAGGTTACCAGATCTGGTGAAAAAATTGGTAAACTGGACATTCTTGATTTCTCTCATGTTTTAATACATATTGGGGTGACAAATGTTAATAACTCGAACTATTGGATTAATTTACTAAATTATATAAATTAAGTGATAATTAAACCTAATGTATTGATCCAAAACTGACTATCACATTGTTAAACTCTAATTATGATACATGGAATGTTTTCAAGTTATCAAATAATCACGAACTGCGGCATAGATATGCAACTTGATGTGTTTTCGCGCCTCAACCCAGGTTATTAGATCTGGGGGAAATTTGGTGATTTGGACAACCCTTAGTTTTTCTTTATTTTTAAAGTAATTTTGTATACAAAACATTGTTTTCTTACATAATTGGACTAATTTTATCTAAATAATTGCATATTGTGTATAATCTTTACAAAGTGATAAATCACTGTCAAAACGAAATCAGCACTATAAATATTGCTGATAATTATTATATGTGAATATATTATAGGCATATGACTCAATATATTTTACCTAATATCCCAAATTACTAGATCTAGGGAAAAATCTGGTAAATTGACAATCTTGACTTTTCCGCGACTAAAGTGATAATTTCAATAACTTAAACTACTGGACAAACTAATTAAATCATACAAATAAAAGTGATAATCAAATATAGTGTATTGATCCAAATCTGACTATACTATTGTTACACTTGGATTGTGATATATGTAATGGTGTGCTGATACTGTATAGTTAACATATTGACAAATCACACTCCTTAATCGCTGTGTTTAATTGTCTAAAACTTTTGGGCGTGTCTGCATAATTTTGCGGCATCTCCTCTTCAAATTAATTGAAGTCTGGTTGATTGCTGCTGTACGACGCGCTTTAATTGTAACTAATTATTTGTTAGATAACACAATTGATTTCCAGACTTCAATTAATTTGAAGAGGAGATGCCGCAAAATTATGCAGACACGCCCAAAAGTTTTAGACAATTAAACACAGCGATTAAGGAGTGTGATTTGTCAATATGTTAACTATACAGTATCAGCACACCATTACATATATCACAATCCAAGTGTAACTATTGCATGGGTTCTCTATGTTATGACAATAACCCTAGTGGAGCCTTTGCAAATCTTTAATTACCTTGCTATATTATTGCCTGAAGTTAACATCTTACATTGACACTCAATTATACAACTCCAATATGGAGTCAACTGAAGAACTTATGGTGCGTCTAAATAAAGCCCGCCTCACACCCACCATGCTTTTGGGTTGTGCGATGGGCTCTGTTGTTAAGTTACGCAATAATAATTTGATACGTGACTACTCTGAAATCCTTGCAGATCTGAATAATATTGAAGCATGCGTTAAAATTATATATAATCAGGGCTATAAAATGTTCTGCGCTCGTTCGTATCTCCTAGGTAAGGTGTGTAAATACGAATTGCTTATTAAAGATCTCAATTCTGACAGCATTGTGAGGATAAATTCTCCACCTAATATAGATGAAGTTGAACTTAGTTCGCGCAGGATAAATAATACCTCGTCTGGTTCAAGTGAAACAATTCCACTTAATCAGCTTATGGTTGATTCTATGGCGTCACAACTCGAGGATTTAACAAGGATGGTTGAATTGGACAAGGCAGAGGACAACCTTATCAACATGAGACATTCGATTAGCGATAAGAAAGCCGAGCTTGAGAGGATTAACGAAGAATTTCGCGCTATCTCTTGCTCGATGACTGACGATATTGCTAAAAACACTCTGAACGGATCTTCTTTATACCAACTCGGCGAGTCCATGGATTGCGATTACGGAGGAAGGACACCCTCTGAAAAACCAAATTATTATACAAACATGGCACACAATCAGGAACACGAATTAAACTTACTGTCGCAGGAGGTGATCGGAGCTTCCAGCGACCGGCATGGTGGAGTTGTTGTCCCCGGCTCTGCCTTGTCGTCATCAAACGAGGGGCTGGCCTGCTCGTTGCCGTTGGGCAAGCAGGTTAATATGGCTACCGCGGTCTTAAATGAACCTGAGGTTGAGGCAGGTTATGAACGGATGGACGTAGTGGTGGCAAATACTGACCCACCAGGTGATCAGCAATCACATGTTGATCCAGTATATGATCCTTTTAAGACTGTCAGAGTGGGATCTAATACTCCTTCAGTTGAATTTGTCAAAGATGTGTTACCATCCGATCATGCATCTAAAAGAAAAGCCGACGAATCGCCTGAAAATGATGCTGTTGCTTCGGTCAGTAGGAGCCGTAAGCATAGAATAATAGTCAGCTCAGATGAACAGAACGAACAGGATGCTGCTGTTGAATAGGAAGAAGATGTTGAGCCTACTATTGATTCGAGTCAGGATGATGCCGGATCCTCCTCACCGAATGAAAGAAGAGTCCTGCGCAAAACAAAAAACACCGGGAGAAGACGGCGTAGCAAAAGGCTTGCTGCTGTTGATGACAGAGATGTGCTGCCTGAATCGAGTCTTGTTATCATCTCAGATGATGATGACACGAATGCGGCTGCATCGGATTTGTCGATCAGCCAAAAAGCTAGCGGTTCTAAAAAGAAAATACCTCAAAATAAGAAAAAAAGCACTTTGGTTCCCAGTTTGGGATTGGACAAAAACAAGACCACCAATCCGGATCTGGATATTTCGTGCGACTCGGACGTCACTGCTAGAATTAGCATTGAGGAACTGGTCGCTATGAACAATGGCGAAATTGCTTCGTATGGCCTGTCACTGATTAATCAAACAGAAATCCTGCGAGGCAAAAGTAAAAATGTCTCTGGTCCGTTTAGTGGTCGTTGGAAGCGGTATCTGGAGCAATTGGGAGATGTTGTCCACGCCTATAGCGAAAAGGTCCAGGCTCAGGGTGACATCAACCACCTGCAACGAGTTAATCAGGAGCTTCAGGCTGAGATCAAAGAGATCTGTAAGCGTAGTGAGGACACTGAAATTGAGCTCAAAAGTGTCAAAAATACGATGGCAGCGCTACAAGAGAAGTTACGGACGCTTAGAGAGGAACGGAACAATGTGCCTACATTCAGCAGGGTATCTAAGGTTCCCCTTCGTGGGTCGCGGCCTTGCCGTGGCGAAGGGGCTCACCCTTTGCAAGAGGATAGTCTTGCAAGGGGTGCTAACAGCGACCAGTACCTTACGAGGTACACTGCCCCCGGCCTGGGGGGCACGCCCTCCGCTTATGGGGGCTCTCTTCGGGCGGTGGAAGAATTCCACCCCCCGGAGAGACGGGGCCCACTTCCCCGTTAGAGCTTCGGCTCGTATGTGGTAAGGGATGGCGACCCGGAATTCAAACGCCCGGTGGCATGGCACCGTTAGGAGAAGGGACTGCACGGCGCCTCGGCGCTTCCCTTCCCACCATGCTCTGTGGCCTGACAAGCCTGTCAGGTAGACGGCTTCTGCCGTCCGGGGTTTTCTCCCCCCTCCGTCCTGGGGGGGCTTGTTTCGGGGTTACCTCTGGGGGGTTGGGGGGTGGGCGTCGGCGGAGGGTGCCGCGCGCGACTACCCGAGGGGCTCTGCCCGGAGGGTTTCCCGAGGGGCTTTGCCCGGAGGGGGTCGCGCCGGCGGAGGGGTCAACATGGTCACCCGAGGGGCTTTGCCCGGAGGGTTGTCCCAAGGGGCTTCGCCCGGAGGGGGCCATGTTGATCGGTCCTCGGGACCCGTTCGTGGAACGGCTCCCGAGGACAGGGAGGTGCCTCGGGGTGCTGGTTGGGGGTCTCCATGCTGGGTAGCCTGGGTCCCCGTCCCAGCGTCCCTGGGGTAGGCCGCACCCAGGCCGCTCGGACGTTTCCGAATCCGAGCCGAGGATGGCGGCGAAGGCGCGCCGCGGTTACCCAAGGGGCATAGCCCGAAGGGATTACCCAAGGGGCATAGCCCGGAGGGTGCCGCGGCCGCCCTGCCCCAGGGCCGCTCGGACGTTTCCGAGGCGGGGCCTGGGGCGAGAGTAGATATCCCCGGTCGGAACCGTTACCCTTTCCGAACCAACCGATCGGGGAGGCGCTTGCCCCTCCTCGAAAGTCTTCGAGGAGGGGCGCCCACATATGCTGGTCGCCACGGCGTGTAGGGCAGGGCCGGGGAGCGGCAACCCTGTCCAAAGCGTCCGTGAGGCCCCCGGGTGGCGCCGCCCGCTGCGGTACCCGCGTTGTCGGAGGCGCGGGACCCCTGAAAGCCCGTGTGGGCGTCAAATCCCACACGGGTGTGTAAGGGGCTCGGAGTCTGGCCGGGGTGCGGTATCCCCCCGGTCTAAGACATATGTCCCCTCCCCGGGGGAACTTGGGGCCCGGCCTTGGGGTGTGGCCGGTCATGTTTCGGGGCACCCCTTGGCCGGTGGGGGTATACCCTGGGGGACGGAGCCGCAGCGGGAAAGTGGGATTCAATAAGATGAATCAACAAAGCGAACACAATAACCAAAATCAAATGCACGTGGGAAACAGGGACCCACTTATTTCCTGCAAAAATAACAAGCTGGAAATCTCTCCTGCCAAAGAAGATATGAGCCAAATGAAGCTCAAGGAGGTAGTCATTCCCCTACAACGGGTAGACTCAGACACAAGCTTGTCAAGTGGCACGTG